TGGCTCTTTGTGTAATTACATGTGGCCCTTTGTGTAATTACAGGTGGCTCTTTGTGTAATTACATGTGGCCCTTTGTGTAATTACAGGTGGCCCTTTTATAAATACTCATACTCCCCACAAAAATAAAAATCATAGATTCTCATTCGTGAAAATAAATATTAAAGATTCAATTAGGTATACACACAGTATGATATCAGATTTGCTTTATTTCTTTGCACTTCCATTTTATATTCAAATTCCAAAGCCTTTATTGCCAACACAACAATTGTTAACCAATCAGAATTTAAATGTGAATGTATGCTGGCGTGCTGAGGCCTCATTAGGTGGTTGGAAATGCAATGTAACATTAGGCCAGTAGTTAGGGCATGTTGTGGCTCTCAAAATGTTTTGTTCTTAAATATAAAAATGGCTCTTCCTCTTTGAAGGGTTGCTAACCCTTGGTGTAGGAGATGTAGGTAAGGATAGCTGTAAATTGTCTCCATTTGTAAAAAATTAAAAATAGATTAATAAAGAGTTAAGTAGCTCGTGGTAGCCACATGTAGAATGTACATTTCAAAACTACTCACAAGACTAGTAGATATAGTTAAAAAAAAACAACTAAACTTAATGGAAGCTAGATTTTAAATAAACAATATGGGAAGTGTTAAAATTCAACTTTCATGCAGTCTGCAGGAAGAACGTTAAAAGCACATTCCCAGCTTTATTAAAATTATGTGGGCAGGTTTCTATAAAATTTTTTACTACTATGCTAAAATGTTTAAAAATATTCACTAGTATGGTAGTAATCTTCCACATTAGTTGACCAGAATTTAGACTTATGTACATTGTAGTTAAAGTGGATCATACATTTAACTAAAAATTTCAATAAAAAATTGGCCCACTGCTTACTTAAAACAGCATTACATAAACAAGTACAGTACCTACCACAATAGCTATGAAGGTCTAGATGTCCCACTGACTTAATGTTTTTAAGGTCCAGCTAAATCTCATGGATCTGTTATTGGTATTTCTTAAGTTTTGCCAAACACTTCCTAATTTGAGTGGTATTGTTGGCAGAAGATTGGTTCCAAAAGGTGCACTTGCCAATTTCTTTGAAACTGACAAGTGCAAATTCACACAAAAATATACCAAAACAGCTTTCCAGCTGAATTAATACATAAATTTTTCCTTATTTTGTTAAGTTTATTTCCAGTAAAATTAATTATAAGCTATTATTTAGGAAAAAAAAAAAGAGTAAAAAAATGTTTATCAAATTCAAGGTACATATTCTGTTTTTCATATAAACAAGGGATATGGTTATTAAAAATTATACGTGTGTGTGTAAACTAACTGGAAGAAAAATAAAACCCAGAACCTTTTGGTAGCTTATTTTCATTATGCAAAGAATCAGCTAAATATCTCACACAGTACATACAATTTCAATGCATTTGAATCTGTATCTGCTGTTAAAGTGCTGATGAATAAATAAAAACATTAAGTGAAACAGTTTTTACTTTATATTTTGTAGCTTTCCTATTATGAAATAACCAAAATTTAGAATAGAATGTGTCAAATTTTGAAAGAAGATACTAGGTGAATGTATATATCATTACATCATGAGTTTATACTTGCTGTTGATACTCGTTCAACCAAGTGTAGTGGCATATAAGCTACACAACATGATTTTATTAGTAAAATATATGCTGATTTTACCTCTAAAGAATATATAAAGAATTTGGAAAAAATTTTGTGTCTTGTATGGATGAATCTAATTGATTTTATGACAATGTGGTTCCCACTAGCCATCATGAACAATCTTGGTTGAACAACTGCTCAGAGAACTTCAAACCAATATTTTACAAAAGCTACATCAATGACAATTGTCATTTTTTGATCAAAGGGTGAAGTCCAACAGCTTCTTGAGTACTTAAATAAATTGAAGAACAGAATATTTTACCTTTTCTAGATGTGCTAATTATTCAAGATGCTCAAAGATTTTGAACGTCAATATATAGAAACAGAATATTTTACCTTTTCTAGATGTGCTAATTATTCAAGATGCTCAAAGATTTTGAACGTCAATATATAGAAACAGAATGTTTACAGGACAGCTCACCCAGTTTATATTTTTATACCTATGGGATATAAGACCAACCTAGCAACATGTCTATTAAGTTGAGCCTTTACGATCTGTTCAACTTATTTATTTTTATAATCTGAGATTGTTTTTCTCCATGAAATATTATTATATAATGGATACCCTAAAAAAATTATTGAAAGCCTAACCAGGATATTTATAAACAAAATATTTAAAACTCCAATAAAAATTGTCACAGTTGATAAATGCCCAGTTTCATTGACCATCCTCTATCTAAGACAACAAAGTATCATACTTTCTAAACAACTTAAGTCTTTAATGAGAAATTTCTACCCACAGGTCAAACTGAAAATCATTTTCAAAACATTCTTTAGATTAAAACATCTCTTTAAAACAAAGAATCATCTATCCATCTCTCTTTGCTCTTGGATTGTCTATAAATACATATGTGGTGACTGTGAGGTTACATATATTGGGAAAAATTAAACATTTTTACTGTCCACATCCATGAATAAGCACATAGGAGTATCACTTAGGTCAGGTAACATCCTTTTAAGCCCATCCAATTTGTTGGTCCAAAATCACAGATATGAAACTGGACATCTGATAACTCACCCAGGATTAATCATTCTTTGTAACTGTAATTCTGACCTTGAACTGTTAATCAAAGAAAGGCTATTTATAAAACAAGTCTCCCCTGCTTTAAATATAACACAGTTCTTCTTAATTTGTTTTAAAGCAACTATAAAACGATTTTCTAACAAATAACTTTATAAATAGAATGTTTATTTAAAAAAGTCAAGGTTTTTTTTAATCTTAATTCCTCTGTTAATAATGTTATAGATAAAAAATAATACTGTGGGTAATTTTATTGTTATTCTTGCTTCACATGATTAGAACATTCTTTTGACCTTGTATTTTCTAATGTGCCTAATTACTGTTATTTTTTCATGTATGTTGTTTAAGAGTAATCAAATTACAAAACTGCTTTGTGTACATTTGTTTTTGATTCATTTAAAACTATGTTGGTTTTCCCACACACAGGAGAGAATCCTGTAAGTTAAACAATTATAACATTATGTATAATAAGTCTAATATTAATTTTCTCACACAGTAAAAGGGGTATACCATACATTATCACACAGAAAACCCACGTTTGTTTTTACACTCTAGAGAGAACCCTCTGATTTAAACAATTATAAACTACATATATAATAAATCCAATATTATACAAGTAATTTGCCATATGGTAAAAGGACCTACAATACATTATCACACAGTCAATAAAAATAGCTTAAAGATAAAATTTAAAGGATTTTTACACAGTGAGGTGTAGGTAAAGATCCAAAAACTAAAAAGTGAACCATGTAGTTGATTTTTTAAGAAACTTCAGTGAGTATTCATACAATATTATGATTCTGGAAAAAGTTTTACAGTTATACTATTCATAGTTTCTCTTATATGAAATAAGACTAAAAAGGACTGTTAAATTTTTATGTTGGGATGTATAAAACAATGTACTTCAGGTATGAAAAGTTTTAACAACCTTTCTTCTTGTGTGAAACGATCATGTGTTATTGAAAAAAAAAAATTGATGTTTGATTATTGACAAAAGTTTTACGTTATCAGAAAAGAACGAATAGTCCTGAAATTTATTTACAAGAATTCAGAATTGAGAAATAAGGTTAATGTAACTACACACACGACTTGGATGAGACTTAATTTCATTTCCATTTCTTAAACTCTGGACCTCTAGGATTATTACCTACCAAGCTGTTTTTATAAAGCTTAAAAATAAAGTGCACAGTTTTGTTTCACACAAGGAAGATATCAAAATGCTATAAAAGTGTGCAGAAGAAGGGATATTACAATAATATTTGGTTTAAGGAATCACATACTATGTCTACAGAAGATTACAATACTGACATGTTAAAACTTAAATACAGAGCAGCAAAATGAAGATAGAACTAATGGGACAGCAACTACAGAATGAGAAGATACCATACAACTTTAGGCAGCACTTACATGCATGGTATATTACTAGAACAGAATAGGGTTTGGTATGAATTAAAGCCTAACACAATGGGTGTTTTTGGGATAACTCACATGCCCGCCCACTCACTCATTTCCATGGCAGTAGTTTCTCTCAGACTCAAGAGTCTAGAAACTGGTAGGATGTGTTGCTAATTTTTGTGTGTTGCTTACCACCTCTAGTGTTCATGTAGATACTCAGTGTAAGAGGAACTCTTAAGTATAGCGTTTGTACTAATAGAAATATTGTGATACATGACAATATAACTATTAATACAAAACTTTAAGCTAATGATACACAATAAGAAACATTGTGTCAGTGTCATTCTACACAGACACAAAAGAGCTAAGTTAACGAATGTTAATTATTAGCATTAATTTCAAAGGTTTGATTAAATAAACTCATGAGCTTAGGTATAATTATTGCTAAATTAGTTTTCTCACAAAGAAAGGCACAACTACGAAACGTAATTTTTTTTGTAATTAATATGAGATTTTCTAATATCAGTTAATTGTAATAAGAGGCTCCTATGAAACCTATTACAATCAGTTAAGTTGGCCTTTCTTTTCATTACTACAATAATTTAATACTAGACTATTTTAACCATTGCTTAAAATGAAGTTAAATACGAATTTGACCTCAGTCTTTTTACTTAAAATCATGTTAACCTAGGCTAAGACCCATGAATTTTTAAGTTTTGCTTTAGCACCAGCAATATTTATTCTATAGTCACGTACAATCATAAATATAATCAAATCAACTTATAACTATTAATTGTTGTTACTAACCTTCTTTTTCATATTTTTAAATATTATTTATAAACTGATAATTAATTATAAAATGTATTTGGTTCTTTCTACTTTGACAATCACGTGAGAAAAGATAGTGCTGCTACCTAACGAACAAATACTTCCTAATATCTTATGTCAATAGGTATCATGTTTTGTCTAGTAGGTGCTGCCCTCTTTTTCTACTGATTACGAAAATATGCTTTCACTGATTTATTTCAGTAAAACACGGTTCATATTTGTAAACATTTTTAGAAAAAAGTATTTATCGTTATTTTGAACTCCAAATCGTATCTTCAGTATTTCAAAAAAAAAAAAACATAACTGAAGTTGTCTAGGGTGTGGTGGGCTTGCCGTATATAACATTATACTTGTGAGCGTGGTCAGACGAGTAAGCGTTCGTTGTCAAGCTCGAGTTATACTGGCAGGATGGCATCGGGAGTGGATTCTCCTTGTAAGTATATATTATATTTCAATTCTAATAGTAATGGTGGGTTATTTTCTTTACACTAAAAATAGCTGTTTTAAAAAATTCTTTCATAGTCGTATATATATATATATATATAATTATGTGCATTTGTATATTTCAAATAAATAAATATTAATTTTTACTAGGCTGTAAGTTCGTAAACTTTGATTTGTTATATACTGTGTTTGTCGTACCGGCTGCTTGGACTAGCACTAGCCCTATTTGTTCATCGAATTGAATATAACTTGTGGATTGTAGTCTAAGTGTGAGAAATATATTGGGTTTATGAATGAATATGGTTGAAAATTAAATTTACAAAAGTGTTATATTTAAATGTCAATGTTATTTCGTATTTTTAAATGAAAGATACATGGAAATGTTTAACGCAAAAAGAAAGAATAGACTAAAACTGCATAGTTAAAACAAGAATGATTTATTTAAAACAAACTGAATCGTCTGTAACATAAATTATTGAAATAGACTTTAGGACGTACTACTACAATTATTGATTTTAGCTAACTAATTTTAATATTGTTAACGTTATTTATTAACTATATAAATGTTATTACACGAGTTTTAAGTAATTAAGCTAGTGAAGGAGACTAAACGTTACGTATATGCTAATATCAAGATGTGCTGCAGCAAGTGAGATTCGTGTCGCCTCGCGCGAAATGTTCTAGCAACTATATTTGCTTTATTAGAATTCCAGACCATTAGCCAGTGTAATGCAGTCCTCCCAAGAAAGCATATTAGTATATCGAGATTGAAAGTGGAAAAAACTCGCAGAGCATTAGGGAAATTATTGCCATGCCAATTCGGAACAATGCCGAATAGAGTAAAAGCTATGGCCATGAAAGTGAATCCTTCGACCGAAAAAGCTATTGAAATGGAGTTGGACATATCTCTTGGTTGTGTTAACAAAATAATAAGCAATGATTTGGGCGAAGACTCACAAACTTCCAAAACATTTCGAGATGTACTGCTGTTTTAAAAGACAAGAAAGATGATCAAAGATACCGGAAATCCATAAAGACTCCCGATTCTGGTTCAATGTACTATTGTAATTTTAATTTGTTTATTGGTCCTGGAAACCGATGATGTACAGTAAAGGATCTGTTTTATCTCAGACTGACCATGTTGCCCTTCACAGAAGCTCGTTACAATGGAAAGTTCCTATAGAAAATTACTGCCATCGGATTGAGCTAGGTCGACAATGGAGAAAGTACTTCTAGTGGCAGAAACGGACCTGAAATATCGTTCTGGTGTTTATAAATATTATACTGCTATAAATTATATATATCTAATGTTGTAAATTTTTGTTAGAGGGTACTGCAAGTAGCTAGTGATAACTTAAAGTTCAGAAAGTTAGGAAATGCGTTTGTTTGTTTGTTTGAAATTAAGCTCAAAGCTACACAATGGGCTATCTGTGCTCTGCCCACCACGGGTATCGAAACCCGGTTTCTAGCGTTGTAAGTCCGCAGACATATTGCTGTGCCACTGGGGGGCGTTAGGAAAGGCCTAGAACCATTAGAAAAATCTATGGATGTGATGTAAAGTCCTAGTATATTCGAAAATAGATTATGTAAGGGCACTCCACGAAGCGTTTTTAGAGTTGAGTTGTTTCAAAAGTGAATCTGAGTTAACTATTACGCTACTTTGATTTTTACATTGTGTATTGCAGTTATAGTGGCTGAAAACTTAGGCCTACATCACATGTTACAACAGTGTTTGAGATTTTAATGACATTAAAAGAAGAAATAAATTAAATTAATTTTGTTTAAGTTTACATTTTCTTACCAGATAATTCAAAGAAACCCGTAAATGAAGAACTACGTTACAATATATGATGTCAGAAGTGGGATTATTTGGCAAAAGTAAAATAGAAGTACAATAGAATTTTGACTAAACTTCAATTGCTGATGATGGAGACCACAAGATCAAGTAGTGAGCTATGAAATTATTAAGACAAGATCAAGAAGAAAGAAATGAAAAGCTAGGAGAATGTGAAAATATTTTAAGGGAGGAATTAGAGATGTACTATTTAAGGAAGAATTAAAGTAAAAACAAATGAAACTGAAGACAAGATTAGTGAAAGTATCGGAGATGTACAGAGGGATTACAACAATACTATTGAAGAAGTATAGAAAACCTGTAATAACAAAATTAATAAAGTCAAAAGTGAAGTAAAGAAAGACACCAACAAGGTAGAAAATAACACTGGTGACAGAATGAAGACGAACTGGGTACGCCTATCCAAATCTTCTGCAAGTTCAAAGAACGAGGTGGCTACTAATGCTTGGTAGCTGTTATGCCTTTTAGGTAGAAGGTTATTTAATGTTGTAAAAACTGGTCCTTTTAAATGGGCAGCAAGTTCAATGGCTCGTTCATCACTATTCCACCCATTTACTCTAGAAATGATTGAAAACTGAGACTAATATTATTCCTATGGTACATTCCCATCATAGTCTGTTGGTCTGAAACTGGAATTAATAATGTCATCGTTGGAACAGTCCAGGCAGGTCCTTCTGTAACAGGTGGTACAACATCAGTGATAATAGATGTAGACTAAGTAAGTTCTCCTATAACATATCTGGGAGTAGATAGTGTTTTCAGTTGGAACTCCTGAGCAAGTGCAGAAAAAGGTGTAGCAAGTTTATTCTTTGCATTTAATAACAGCCTAACTAACCCTCATATCTGCGCCAGTTATGACATCTATAAATTGGTTATGTGCCAATGCCAATCATCGCACGAGAAACATCCCCCCCCCCCGGTGGCTCAGCGGCAAATATTAGTGCTTATAACGCTAAAACCGGGTTTCGATAACTGTGGTGGGAAGAACACAGATAGCCCATTGTGTGGCTTTGTGTTTAATTTCAAACAAAATATATAAACAGAAAACTTATATTTCTACAAACTTTTTCAGAATATTAAAGTCGGTATTTTTATAACGATGACAAGTATACAAATTTAGTGTAAAAAAATTAAAAACATAACTTGAATTATTTTATTTTAGTGATAGTTATTTTGACAACAAAATATTCTTTATGATATAGATGACAAATATTTTTATGAACTTTATATTATTTTATGTCAAACTATACGATTATACCAGTCCTACCATGGCGCTTTTAAATTTATTTTTGCTTCCAAGACGGACAAAAAAAAAAGATAACACACGCAAGATACATTTTTATTTCTAATAATACCTCATTTAATACTTTAGTACTGAAGTTACGTCAGACAGATAGATAGGTAAATGTTTTTCCTGTAATATTGTTGTGACGTAATTCTTTCAAATTATCAAGTGAAAATAATTCAACGTCGAGTACACACGAAAACAAGTTAACTTATTTCTTCTTTTAACGTTATTACAAGTTCTAACACTGTTGTAACTTGAAGGTCCAAGTTTTCAACCACTAACTGTACTGCACAATTTGCTCCATTAGTAGTTTACTTAAAACTTTAATGGATTCCAATTCCATTGTAAAAAGCAGAGCTTTCTTTAAAGATGTAGACCTACTCTGTTTGGGGGGCTTTTTATGTGGCATTCAGGCAGTCAAACAAGATACGTGTATTTGTACCCTAACATCTTGTTTCTCTTAAGTAATTTGGTTGTATATGTTTGCAAATAGTTCATTTAATCGCGTACATTTGAAAACATTTGGTATGGTTTGAATTTCGCGCAAAGCTACCCGAGGACTATCTGCGCTAGCCATCCCTAATTTAGCAGTGTAAGACTAGAGGGAAGGTAGCTAGTCACCACCACCCACCGCCAACTCTTGGACTACTCTTTTACCAACGAATAGTGGGATTGACCGTTACATTATAACGCCCCCACGGCTGAAAGGGCGAGCATGTTTGTTGTGACGGGGATTCGAACCCGCGACCCTCAGATTGCGAGTCGAGCGCCCTAACCACCTGGCCATCTAAAGTGATATACGAAATGTTTTCAGGTACTTTTCCCTTTCAAGGGTTCTTATAAGGTCGCCGTAACATATATAAGCGTTAGGGGTTGAAGAATAGTTCGCTCAATCATTTTAGACTTGTTTTTTTGTGGCTCTTATCCAGCCTAGAACGGCTCTTGATTCTTGGTTTAACCATTTCCTTGCTCTGTTATCCCTAATATACGACACAGTTGACCTTGGAACTGATCAGATTTGACAGTGAGTGGTAGTGGCAAAATAGGTTAAGCCGGATGTAGAAATAATAGTAGGGCCTCAGGTAATGCCATTAGTAACTGCGATGAAGATAAAAAAAATTAAGTTAATGTTTTGCTTCCGAACGGAAATGAGCAGAATTGAAAGTTTATAATTAATTAATTATTAAACTTGTTTGTCTGAGGTAATAATAAAATGTGAATTAATTTCGTATTATACATATACATGTAATTTATTAAAATATTTATGTATTACTTACTTAAAACTACGTGATTTAATTAAGAGTTTGGTAAACATATAAATATTTGAAAAGATGCCTTATAACCTGATATACAAATACGGAATTTAGCTTGTGTGTGCGCGTGATATATTTGAATCTAGGATTAATTCTTGCTTCATGGAAAAAACAAAACAACTAACTATCTGATAGGCCCGGCATGGCCAGGTGGTTAAGGAGCTCAACTCGCAGTCTGCGAGTCGCGGGTTCGAATCCCAGCCCCACCAAACATGCTCGCCCTTTCAGCCGTGGGGGTG